GTCTTGGAGAAGAAAACAGTCGGCATGCTTGTAAGCAGGGATAGAGGGATAAGCAGAATGACTCTGTGTATGAACGGGAAAACCATCGAGTTTAAAGACCAAACCAAGTTCCTTGGCGTAATCTTTGACCGAAGGCTGACCTGGAAACCGCACATCGACGAGACTGTAGATAGATGCACCAAAATCCTAAACTTAATGAGGAAAATAACGGGCAGCACTTGGGTGGCCAACAGAGTCACACTAATGATGGTGTATCGTGCTCTAATACGATCTGTATTAGACTACGGCTCTCTGGCCTTCATGAACTGCGCGCCATTACTCTAAAGGAAGCTTGACACCATCCAATACAAAGCTCTGTGTATTGCGACTGGCGTAGTGCAAGGGACTGGGAGAGAGGCACTACTGCAGGAAGTCGGGGAGTTGCCCCTATCCCTAAGAAGAAAAGAACTAGCGACAAGGTACTGGGCTAAGATCTCGCAACTGGGCGAAAGATCCCCAACCTTTGTCAGTCTAAAAAATACAAGATATGTGAGAGATCCTAGAAAGAAAAGCTTCGGCCAGGGTATCAGGGAAACAATCAAGGAACTGCGACTGGGGGAGCTCGTGATAAATGAACACGACCCCCCAGTGATCGCCCCTTGGACGCTCCCTATACCGCCGGTTAATCTAGATCTACTACAGAAAACCGACAAGAAAAATAACCCCACTGCTGCACGTGCTTTCTCACTAGAACACCTGGAAGACAACTGGCCGTCTGATGACTGGGACCATGTGTACACGGATGGCTCACGCAATCCTGAAAGGGGCACCAGCTCCTTTGGAATATACCTGCCAAACGGGGAACAGGGAATAAGCAGGAAACTGCCCAATAACTGTTCGGTGTACACTGCAGAGCTTGTGGCCATTCGTGACGCTATATCATGGATTTCCCATCAAAAGACTAGTAAGTTCGTCATTCCAAGCGACTCTCTGAGCAGTCTGATTTCAATCCAAAATGACAACTCGGACTCAAGACCAGAAGTCATTTTGGAAATCAGGCAGCTGTACCAGAGGGTTTTAGAGAAGGGAAGCAAAGTAGAACTCGTGTGGATTCCATCACATGTCAACATTAGAGGAACCGAGGAGGCAGATCGACTCGCCAATGAAGGTCTCAAGGACACAGCACCACTCCGCACCATAGACTACAGCACCACGGAAATCTACAGTATGGTCAAAAGACACGTCAATTCAATCTGGGAATTAAATCTCGTTGAACTTGACACATACAGATTCCGGCTGGATGACAAGATCTACCCAAAGACAACACTCAATCACCCTAGAAGAGATATTTGTAGACTTATATCGAAGCTAAGGGTGAAAGAGCGGCTGCGAGACTACAAACACCAAGTCATCATCTGTGAGTGCGGAGAAGAATGTACCGCCAACCATGTCCTGGTAGACTGCGAGGTATACGAGGAGGAGAGAAGGGAACTAGTGAGAACAATGGAGACCAACAACATACCATTCAACACTAAGAACCTACTCTTCCCGAGACCAGATCTGAAACTGCAAATCTTCGAACAAATCCACGCCCTTATGGACACAGTTGGACTAAGTAGAATAGTGAAGTAAGAGGGGGTCACGGTTAGACGGGCCCGGCATCTAAACACTAAACTACATAGGGGATTTATACCAAACTGGCAGGATAGTGGAGTAAGGGGGAGTCACGATCAGACGGACTCGGCATCTAAACACTATTCCACCAAAAACAGACACCAAACCTACAGAGTGGGATAGTGGAGTAAGGGGAGGTCACGATAAGACGGGCCTGGCACCTAAACACAAACCCCACAAAGATGACATCTACCAAACTAGCAGGATAGTGGAGTAAGGGGGAGTTACGGTCAGACGAACTTGGCACCTAAACACTATTCCGCAAATAAAACGGATACCAAACCCAGAGAGTGGGACAGTGGAGAAAGGGGGGCCACAATAAGACGGGCCTGGCACCTAAAGACTAACCCCAAACGATGACATCTACCAATCCAGAAGCAGACGAGATCATCTACCAAACGATATGTATTGTATTAAATAAAGGGAAGAACTTCCCACTAAACCAAATCCATGGCCTAAGGCCAAATGGAAAGATTGCAAAATCATATTCTAAAAAAACAGGAATCAGCTTCGGCTCTCCTATGTCTTGTCTGCGATATCACTTATGTGGAAGCAGACGTTAAACACCAAGAACGAACGAACGAATGTTGGTTAACATTCTTTCTTTAAGATGGTTTTTAGAACAGATTATTGTCGGTACAATTATATAAACATTGAATCCTATAATTGTTTTATCTTGTAGGCTAGATGGTTCAGGATTAGGGCTGAGCATGTAAAGAAAGCGTGAATTCAAGGAGCCATGTTTATTCCAAGTAATGGGAAGTAACTCTAATACAAAATAGGCATATATATGGAGTCAGACAACTGAGTAATAAGATTACATTATGTTAAAGTAACCGACTGATGTTAAAGAGGCACTTTTATGTTTCTGGAATTTGCATTGAATCTGAGAAATCATCTAATGTGTAACACTATCTTACAGATAACAGAAGTTCAGCATAATCTATAAAACATTTATTGAGAACATGAAATAGACATAAATCGGGAGGAGCTCTATTCCAAGTCAGACTTGCTGTCAGTGAACGCCTGCTTGAATAGCGTCTAACAATTAGGGGAGATGGACACGAGTGATAATCATATATGGTATTGTTTATTATCTAATTATGGTGTTTGTAATTACACTGCATATTTCTTAGGAAGTCATTGTCAGGTCAAGGTATGATGCGCTGACCTGTTATACACGGATCATGTATAGCTTGTAAAGGACATATTGAATAAACTAGATGTTTAATAAAATCGTGCCTTAACAGAAGTTATAGAGAGTTTAAACGTCAACTTCAGGTATAGATCACTTTGTCACAAATGATAATGCTTACGCCTTAGCAAATTCCCTGCATTGGCCGAGAATGTTCATCGAGATTTTCCGACGTGGATTCCCCTTGTCAGTGGAGCAGGACAGAGCGCCTGACAAGGCCAGTTTCTAGTCGTTCGGGTGGGACGAAAAACCGAGGTCCCGTGTATAAATTGGCGCGCACGTAAAGGATCCCTTGGCAGTTGGAGTTCGATATAAGAGTAAGCCGGCCATAGTGCCACTGCCCCGGCAAAATTTCTCTCATAGCACACTGTATGGCGTATGCCCGTCTTCATTTCCAACTAGCATGGGTTCTTTTACGTGCACACCAATATGTACACGTGACATCGGGTTTTCGTCCCATCTATCCGACTCGGCGCTGTTCCCCCGTTCTACAAGACAGAGTGGATAGTCGAATGGTTAGCACGTGGTTTCGAAACCTGGTGGATTTTCTCCGGGTCCTCCGGTTTCCTCCCACTGCTAAAAACTCCTACGCGCAAGCGAATTATTGAAATAATATTAAACCATATGTTAGTCCCGAAATGACCTACCGAAATGACCTAATGGACGTTAAACCCCATACCCCCCCCCCCCCCCGTTCTACACGATTGACAATAACAAACCATGCAGGAAAATCCGGAGGAAATTTCTCGGTCAACACTGGGATCGAACACAGGATCTCGAAGAATAGGGTGAAACGACACGTTCCTGGCAAATTTTCCCTCGCACTGCAAGACGTATCCCCATCTTTATTAGTCCGGGCGGGGGGGAGCTAGATCGGAGACGGTCGAGCACATATGACGTCAGATGCGGATTGTGCGTTAGGGTTAGGCTTGGTCCATGGTTAGGGTTAGCGCTAGCCCTGTTTACATCTCGAGACCTTGACCCTTACCCTAACCCAACATCCACATGTGACGTCATATTATGTCCTAGAATGTGCTAGACCGTCTCCGATTCAGCGTTCTCCCATTAGCCAAGTTGGTGCAGGACCAATATGTTTCACAGAGGATTACGAAAGTCTTCTAATATCTCTGTAAAAGATGACTACCTTAAACACGTGACGTCTCATCACGCGGCGTCAATCATTGGCTCAATTGTTTACATAAGACCTTACTGGTTCGGGCGAAATGGAGCCTTTATTTACTCATTTTAATACCCATTTACACTAAATAGGAAATAATCTTTACCTACAAATACGCCAAACGTCTTTATTTTTTTTTCTAATTCATAAAAAAAAATGTTTTAGAATTTAATTTGTCGGATGAAAAAAGTAATTTTTGTCGCTCATTACGTCGCATCGATGTCATCCTTTTCAGTGACTGTCGCGGCTTAGCGAATATTCACTGCTGATCAGTGTGATGCAGGACAAGCAGGACGTTAAACCCAATTCAATTTGTTTTTCGTAAGATTTGAGAAAACAAAATCCTCGATTCCAGTTTCTATCTACACAAAAAGGCAGATTTCACAATCTAATCGTTTTTAACGCGCTAGCTGGGTGTTTCTACGTCAATTTTGGTTCCCATGACGACTATATTAGTATCTTTGCTCATACAAGCTATTCTTCGGACCAGTTGTTTGAGGGAATCTTATATGGATAGAATTAATCTATAAATTGGTGCCCAGCCCCCCCCCCCCCCGAGACCAAGTAAGCGTCCCCGTGATACAAAGTCCCCTCGGGCCCACTCCCTCAGAAATTAAAAGCTCAATTCCATTATGGCACCCTTCTTCACTCTTCATATAGGCCTACTATCTAATCACTATTATATTCACGTGTTACAGTGATTCACCCGGTTAGTACCGGGTAGTACCACTAGTCCGTGGCTCGTGGGGCGACAGACTGCTGTACACATGCTCTGTCTTAACTCTTACAAAACAGGCGGAATTGACAGGCAGATCTCGAGATTCTGTCCCATTGACACCTATTTCTGGACCTCTCGTTCACATGAATTTGTTCCCAGCAATGACCCTCCCCATCCCCACCCATCAGGTTGCTCAGTGTTATAGCCACTGCCTCTAAAATTAAAAAACAATTAAATAACAAAATTAACAACAATCATAATATAACATGAACTTTATGTCAACTTAAATAAAACTGGTTTCCGGCGAGATAACGATCTATGTTCTACCGGGACGCTCAGTGTTATATCAACTATTTTGTTTACATTCATTGTGGGGTGCGATTGCGGATGGCGCCCTAGATTTGGAACCGCCCCCCCCCTCCTATTCTCAGCTTCTAGATCCGCTACTGAATGTTACACCGCAGACGCCCCTGACGCCCCCGACGCCCTGCATTCCACTTCTCTTTCTCCTCAATCTTTTTCTCTAGCCATGTCTCCGATTTCTTCCGACAATCATCTGTTATTCCATAATCAGGACCACTGGAACTGGGTTCCCTGGGTGTAGTTGTGGGTATAAAGGTGGTTTCGGTTATCTGGATTGGAGGACTTGTAGTCAGCTGTTCGATTGACATCTTTATGTCTATAAAAAGACAGAACGTAAAAAATATCTGGTCTAATTGGATGAAATGAAATGAAATGGGGTTTAACGTCCTACTGTTCTGCTCCTAACCTGGGCTAATGAAGACGGGCATACGCCATACCGGTACAGTATGCTATGGGGTGGGGGGATCACGTGGCTAAGTGGGTAAGACGCTGGCTCGCTAGCCAGGAGGTCGGGTGTTCGATCCCTGCATTTGCCGAGAAAGTTCTTCCAGATTTTCCGGCGTGGTTTTTCTTCCTATCCGAACAGCTGTCCTTGTCAGGCTCTCCGTCCTGCATCACTGACAAGGGGAAACCACGCCGGAAAATCTGGATGAACTTTCTCGGCCAATGCTGGGATCGAACACCCGACCTCCAGGCTAGCGAGCCAGCGTCTTACCCACTTAGCCTCGTGATCCCCCGCCAATTAGATGGACACAAGGGGCTCGAATTACAAATCTGTATCAGTTCGATCGGGCAGGGGTGGGCTCTTCTTATACTCATTAGATAATGAAGAAATGTTTTTTGCTGACAATTCAGTTGATTTGCTATTATTAGTCGCTTGTTGAAAATCCAAATCGATACATATTCAGATTAATGTCACAATCGACCATTTTCAATGCGATTAATAAACAGAATTGGAGTTTGAAAATCTACAGAATTCAGAATCTGGAAAGCATCCAATATCGGGGATAAATCGTGCTATATTGAACCCTATTATATTAACAGGACACAATTATTCTATCTATAGCGTTTCAACTACAATTCTCTCGTCCTTCGTAATGCACCACTGACAAGGAGGCATCACTCCGCCCTGCACTACTGGTCTCAGACTAGCAATTATTTGCCCATTGACTTCAATGTTAAATAGCTGTAACATCACAGGCTGTAGATTTTTGCTCAACATTCCGTTGGTTCCAATCTTTATAGGCACAATGGGGACAACATTTGGCAATCTCATCATCATAATTTTGTAGGGGGTTGACCATTTAGATTTTTTGTTACGCGGATTTGAAGTTGACTGGGGTGAAAATATCACTTCCGACACAATGATTGCTCTGCAGAAAGACACTTTACACACCCTATCCCTCCGCTGTAATATCATCAGTATTACCCAAAACTGCTATGAAATTGCAAATTTGATCCCTTTTCTCCAATTCTAGACAAAAAAGTCAACCAAAAAATGCATGAAGAGGGGAGAAAAAAGATTAAGGGAAAAATTGTCTATTTATAACTCGCCCTACATCATGAAATAAGGGGAAATAATTACTAGTCTTAATCCTACTGACAAGGGAACCCCGCTCTGTCCTGGACCCTGTTTCACAAAAACTTAAATTAAAATCACTAAAATAGATTTTAACTAAAATCAAAATGAAATATTAAATTTTATGCGTTTCACGAAGATCGATTGTAACTTACAATGCAATTTTAATAGATTTTAGTAAAAATTACTTGCGCTCGCGCAGTGCACAATTCCGGCGAGGGCACTCAAGGTGCAAGCTTAAGCGCTTCGGCAATGAAAAGAAATTGAATGAAAATTATTTTTTTGAATGATAGTATGTTTAAATTATATAACCCGGGCCATTGGCAATATTATCATTATTCCAAATATATATATATATGCCGCAATAAATCTCACAACGTAGCTCTAATCAATGTTTGTTAATGTCGTGATTTCAAGTTAGGAGAGGGTGACGGCTGCTCTAAGTTAAAATTGAAATTGATTTTAGTTAAAATTGTCCCTAAAATACTTTTGTGAAACGCCACTATTTTAGGTTAAGATACAATTTTAACTTACAATATTATTTTAGTGGATTTTATCTAAAATGCTTAAAATCGTTTTGTGAAACGCATCTATCTTAAGTTAGGATGGAATTTTAGTTTAAGACGATTTTAAGGAGATTTAAGTTTTTGCGAAACAGGGCCCAGCACGGTTAGTGCTAAATGATAAGGCCAGCTCAATTTTTCTTCATAGGTCACGAGATGTAAACAGGGCTAGCGCTAACCCTAACCCTGGAACAAACCCTAATGCTTACCCTAACCCTAACCTACAATCTCGCCAACATCTTATAATTAGCGACCTTGACCAAAATGAGCTGGCCTTAACAAATAGATTTAGCCCGCCCTGCATTACTGACAAGCACTAAAATCAATCTAACATTATCCAATCAAACTACTAAAATTTGGATTTTATCTTAGCTAAAATTTGGTGAAACAGCCCCCCCCCCCCACACGTAAATTAGAACTAGGCAGTAACCGTCGTCAAGTAATAATCAGCATTTGTATTCCACCCAATAGGAATTCTTCAAACATACCTGTAAAGGTCAAAAGAGGTTTTCCACAAATAGAAGACGTCCTACTGCACTGCTACTACAGGGCTAATGACGACGGTCTGGAAATTGTCCTTTTTATAGAGACTGATGACTATCGATTTAGCCTGCGTCAAGTGAATCTATGGGTTATATTTTATGGAAGAACAGCGTTGCCATTATTATTTCAATGTTCATGGCCCAAAAATACTTTATTTTAGATTTACAATTGGCCATTTCCATTGCTCCACAATACAAATGTTACAGTGTTAAATTACACTTGTCAATAATACAAAATACCTTCTTAGTAGCATATTTCATTACTTCCCGTCCTAGTCCGCACTTTTCTCCGTGTGAAAATGAGGTTCTGGTAGTTTCCCTAAAAAAGGTATATGTGTTCTATTATGCAAAGTCCCAAATATACTCTTCAAAAAAAAAGTAGGGGATATTCAGAAACAATACAAAACTGCAGAAATGCACTGCTGTTTTTATTAGAGGTAACCAGTGTATGTTAATAACAGGCCAATTGCCTACACATGAACATAAACAGTTTGTATGGGCGGCTTATCTGACGGTTCCATTTCACTCGCATAGAGATACACTGTCAAAAGTCAAAATAGACGTTTTTGATTTTTTGTTTAAATAATGAGTCATTGCTCCACCAATGTAACTGAGTGATTTATACCTGAAGTTGACGTTTATATTATGTTATTTATTTATTTATTTTTAATAAGTAACCTGGTGTGACAAAACTGATCTATAACTGAAGTTGACGTTTAAACTCTCGACAACTTCTGTGAAGACACGTTCTTAATAAACATCTAGTTTATTCAAGATGTTCTTTAACAAGCTACACATGATCCGCGAGTAACACTAGACTGAATTTCAAAGAGAATGTATTAGTGGTCAGTTCATTATACCTTGACCTGACAATGACTTTCAAAGAAATATGCAATTTAATTACAAACACCATAATTGATAATAAACAATACCATATATGATTATCACTCTTATCCACCTCAGCTAATTGTTAGAGGCTTTATAAGCAGACGTTTATTGACAGGAAGTCTGACTTGGAATAGAGCTCCTCCCGATTTATGTCTATTTCATGTTCTCAATAAATGTTCACATCACATCCCAACTAGTTTCTTCTGTTGTATTTTAGTTAGTGTTTTTTTTTAAATATATTCAAAAATAATACGTCTTTTACAGATTTGAATATAACCACAAATAAATGATTATTTTGATACACACTGTCATACACGATGCTAAGATGGGTATTAATGGTTTGTATATGAAAAATAAATTTTAAAAGAGAAAAATATTAAGGTATATCTTAAAACACAACATTCCCCCCCTTTGCATGCTACTCTTAGAGATAGAGCGGGGAAGAATGTCTCGTCGACACCAGAAAGGAAGGTTAGTTCCAGCAATTTGATAACTAAAAGGAGAATTGAACCTGGATCAGACACCTGAGCCAAATACAATCAATATTGCTACATAAACTTATTGATTTTTTGAAAATATCAAACTGAATTTAACTCTAGAACTGCGATGCAGTAATGACGGGTTTCATCGGTGCCTCGTTACCCTTAAACTTATGTCACTTCCGGTGCCAAGTTACCCTTGAACTTATGTCACTTCCGGTACCAATGAAACCGTTAAACAGGTTTCCACATAAGTACTGCACCCATGAAATAAAATGGACGCATCAACCAAATCCAGCAATCAATTCATTTTATACATGTAAGTGATCCTGACAAAATTACATTACTTCCGGTGATAATGAAAATGTTAAATTAGTTCTATGAAATCATATATGGCATAAGGCATCGCATGGTGAAAATCGAATAATAATTGCCATTTTCAAAGACCTGAAACCTTGAAAATTGACTTGTAGAAAATCGTCTATTTCTCTGCAACCGTACACGTTAGAAACCATTTTGTGGTATCTGTATGATCATATGGGTTCATTCTATTTGTTGATTGGAATCAAATATCATAATTTTAAAAACATTACAAAGCAGATTCATTTGAATAAAATATCTGTTTTGAAGGCTAAAAAAACAGTTTTTGCCAAAATGACATTAGTTCCGGTGATACTGAAAATGTTAAATTAGTTCTATGAAATCATGAATGGCAGAAGACATCATATGGTGAAATTTTTTTTTATGAAAATCAAATAATAACTGATACTTTTATAGCCCAAAACCTTGAAAAGTGACTTGTGGAAAATCGTCCATTTCTCTGCAACCGTATAAGTTAGAAACCATTTTGTGGTATTTGTATGATCGTATGGGTTCATGCTATTTGTTGACGGGAACCAAATATCATAATATTAAAAATATTACAAATAATACTCATTTAAATAAAATATGTATTTTTAAGGCTAAAAATACAGTTTTTGCCGAAATGACGTCATTTCCGGTGATAGTGAAAATGTTAAATTAGTTTGACCTAGTCAAAAGTGGCATTAGGCATCAAATGGTAAAACAATAATTGAATCTTTTACAGGCAAAATAGCGTGAAAAGTGACGAATGCAAAGTTGCCTATTTCTCGGCAGCTGCTCATATTACAAACTAATTTTCGAATACATTCTCTTCGTATGGAGTATTGCTACGAGTTTATGAAAGTTACAAGGAAATATTTTAAAATATGAAGGCGCTGAATGGGTTGTAATTAGCTTAATTTCACACCTTTTTTCACCTTTTAATCGAAATTGCCCGAAAATGAAATATAAATTAAAAAATATAAGCTCAAGATTATGTGCGCCATTACAGGGTGCACCCTTTTAGTTATATCAAATTTTGAAAAAATAATATTTGCCCTCAGAAAGTGGTACCGAACTGTCAAAATTGTATTTTTTGCTAAAATTACGTCACTTCCGGTGCCGACAGGAAACTCTATCGGTAACATAAAAAATGACAATTGAGACAACGAAGCGTATGAACCTCCATCTAAAATAAATATTTTTTTTTTAATTACGACGGTCCAAAAGGCTTAGATGACTTTAACCATGTTTATATAATATGCAGATTTCGTTCTAAGTATATGATGTTTAACACATAAGAACAAGTAAGTAAGTAGGATTATCATCCAATATTGCGATCATTAGAAGTGGTATATTGCCGATAGTTCATCAAACTGCTCCTACTTTGATATATTAACCAGTTTTCGATTCTACGAGGAGATTGGATAAATTATCCCGATTAAACTCCATATATATTTATTTATGTAAACAATAAAACATAAAAACACACGAGAAAATCAATACAACAGTGCATATAATAAATTAAAAATTTGGAAAGCTTTTCTCACAACCTATTCTCTATCTTTTTGGTAAGTTTATTTTGAGGTTTAAATAAAATATTCACTGATTCGACATTATCATCGATTAACTATTTCAGTAATTCATAGGCGTTTGAATCTTGGTTGGGCGGGGCGGGGGTGGGGGTGGGAGCTTTGGCGCTACTCAAAGTGTGAGACCATATGCCATATTATTTAATGATTGATTCATTCTGTAAGTTCGGTGACAAAGATTTTTTTAGCAATTAACCCCCCCCCCCCCAACACACACCCACACAACTTAAATTGCCCCCCCCCCACCCGAGGCCTATGCTGTTATTTATATTCAATCAATAGGAAATTTTCCATAATGGCTGAATTAATGCTACGTGTGCAAAACATCTGTTATACAATAAATTCCCGGATGGTGAAAAAAATATTGTAGTTTACACGTTTGACATGTTTTTAAAACATCTTGTGTATTGTTGTATTCTCTATAAAATATGTTCAAATAAACAAAATCAATAGCAAGCCATGTAAAATTTATTATTAAATGAATCCACTTCAAAGGTTTCTACCAAGATAAAAGTTTGAATATTTTTGATGTGTCGTATTTTAAGCTATTTTCGAAGAATTTAAATTTTCACCAAATATTCACCAATTCCAGATAAAAAGGTCCTTGGAGCTACCAACAACAATCCAAATCATTTACTAAAAATGAGAGAAAGAGAGAGAGAGAGAGAGAGAGAGAGAGAGAGAGTAGAGAGAGAGTAGAGAGAGAAAGTAGAGAGAGAGAGAGTAGAGAGAGTAGAGAGAGAGAGTAGAGAGAGAGAGAGAGTAGAGAGAGAGAGAGAGAGAGAGAGTAGAGAGAGAGTAGAGAGTAGAGAGAGAGAGAGAGTAGAGAGAGAGAGTAGAGAGTAGAGAGAGAGAGTAGAGAGAGAGAGTAGAGAGAGAGAGTAGAGAGAGAGAGTAGAGAGTAGAGAGAGAGAGTAGAGAGAGTAGAGAGAGAGAGAGTAGAGAGAGAGAGAGAGTAGACAGAGAGAGAGTAGACAGAGAGAGAGAGTAGAGAGAGAGTAGAGAGAGAGAGAGAGTAGAGAGAGAGAGTAGAGAGAGAGAGAGAGTAGAGAGAGAGAGAGAGAGAGTAGAGAGAGAGAGTAGATAGAGAGAGAGAGTAGAGAGAGAGAGAGAGTAGAGAGAGAGAGTAGAGAGAGTAGAGAGAGAGAGTAGAGAGAGAGAGAGAGTAGAGAGAGAGAGAGAGTAGACAGAGAGAGAGTAGAGAGAGAGAGAGAGTAGAGAGAGAGAGTAGAGAGTAGAGAGAGAGAGAGAGTAGACAGAGAGAGAGTAGACAGAGAGAGAGAGTAGAGAGAGAGAGAGAGATTGAGAGAGAGAGAGAGAGAGTAGAGAGAGAGTAGAGAGAGAGTAGAGCGAGAGAGAGTAGAGAGAGAGAGAGAGAGAGAGAGAGAGTAAGAGAGAGAGAGAGAGAGAGTAGAGAGTAGAGAGAGAGTAGAGAGAGAGAGAGAGAGTAGAGAGAGAGAGAGTAGAGAGATAGAGAGAGAGAGGGAGGAGAGAGAGAGAGAGAGAGAGAGGGGAGAGAGAGAGAAAGAGAGGGAGAGAGAGAGGGGTAGGGAGAGAGAGATAGAGGTAGGGAGAGAGAGATAGAGAGAGAGAGAGAAAGAGAGGGAGAGAGAGAGAGATAGAGAGAGAGGTAGGGAGGGAGGGAGAGAGAGAGAGAGAGAGAGAGAGGGGGTAACGTCCACTAGACACAAACTAGGTCATTTTGGGACTAACACATGGTTCAATTTTATTTCAATAATTCGCTTGCGCGTAGGAATCTTTAGTAGTTCGAGGAAAC